GCCAAGACTGGACCTGCCCAAACCGTCACTTCGACTTCTGCCTGGAGGAGAACTTCTGCCGATTTGCACCGGATGGAGCTAGCACAGATCTAGTCTGCCCTTCCGATTCTCGACAAGGGAACCTGACTTCTGAGCCCTGTCAGTCCATCGCAAGATGTCCCATCAGCGAGAATGAAGACGAACCGGTATTCCCAACAAGGCACAAGTTTTACCAGCAAACCTACGCCGCCCAGTATTGTGAAGAACGAGGGAAACAACTGTGTTCTCTAGAGCAGCTGGTCCTGTTAAACACATTCAAAGATGTCCAGGCAATTGTCTGGGGCTGGATCAGGAATCATAGTATGGAAGCCATGTTTGAGGAAGACTGTACAAATTCAACCTCTGAATTTTGTTTCAAGAACATGTATCGATATCGAGTTTCAGTCGCCGTAAGCAATGTAGCCTATTGCTGTGACGACTCTTTGTTTAAACTCACTGAGCAAAAACACCGCAACCACAGCAGTGCTGAGAAAGGCTGCCGTGACCGGGGCATGCAGCTTTGTCTCCCTTCACAACTGACGGCCGTCCATGAGGCTTCCATCAGGCGTGACAGTTACCCAGAAGACATTGCGTGGATCAACATGGCCGACAAAGTCACACTACTTAACGACACCTGCGGATGCCTTGTTGGCGAAAGATGTCTCAATAATAAGATTCCTTTATTCGAAATCGATCGATCAAAAGTATACAAAGCATTATGCTGTGAGGAAAGCTTCTTTCAGAGTGAAGACAAGTTTTCTCATCAGCCGGAGGCCTTTACAGTGTGCGCCAAGGAAGCAAAGCAGCCATGTTCACGTCTTCAACTTAATGACTTGTATAATGACGGAGTTAGAAACGAAGTACTTTTCATGGTTTGTCCACCCAAACGCTGTGGCTAGTCTTCAAAATCAGTGCAACACTTCAGATCATAACTGTAAAGGTGGCGTAATATACAAAGACAACATTTCACCCAACGACACGGCCTTTCATGTCTACTGTTGCAATCCTGAGCCACAAAATCAATCCATGCCACGGAAAGCTGATGAGACAAATCACTTTAATGACTGCAACAACCCGCTAGGTTTGGAGAGTGGCGTTATTGTACCAGATCAAATCACTGCTTCCTCTTCCCTTCACCAGCGTACACCCAACCATGCCAGGCTCAACGGTAGGTCTTCGTGGAAGATGGAGGAAAATGACAACGAGCCTTGGATACAGGTGGACCTACTAGACTCACATATCCTAGCCGGGGTGATCACACAGGGAGGGGGTAAGGCTGGTGGCTTCGTCAAATCCTTCTCTTTATCGTTTAGTATCCGCGGAAATCAGTGGCTGACTTACAGGGAGAACGAAACGACACCGTTGCCAACAGTGTTTGTCGGAAACAAAGATGGCGACACCCAAACCATGTGTACTTCTCTCGCGCAGTCGGGACTCGATACGTACGGCTGTATCCGCTGTTATGGGGACGGAAGGGAGGACTGCGTCTCGAACTGGTCGGGTGTCGGTCGTCTAGCTGTACAATGTCAACAAACATAGTTGGAAAGACTGTTCAGTTTTATTATCATCACCAGGCGATGTGCGCAGAACCCGAGTGCATCGTGGGACGAGGTCTGAACTACAGAGGCAAGCAGAACGTTACGATGAGCGGTAGGCCATGTCAGAAATGGAACTCCCATGATCCTCAGCGTCACTGCACCACTCCCTCAATATACCCGGATGCAGATCTGTCTGAAAACTACTGCCGGTGTTCTGAAATATATGGTCCGGCTGAAATAATCGGTCCGGGGCGTGGCCTAAAATGTACGAAGGCCCACACGCACATATCTCAATCAAGGCGATCGCGCGATTGTAACGCAGTTCAGTACATGTAACGATAAACAGGGTTCTGTAAAGTAAGCATTAACGTAAGATTGTACAATATCGCACATAACTTAACTTATAAAAACCGTAGCGTAAGCATGAAAGAGACCATTCCTTTGCAACTAGAATGTTAACCCCCTCTGATTTCTAAGCTTACAAAACAGTAAGTCTCTGCAATGACCCTCGAGCTCTTTGGTCCGCTAAAATTAAAACAGTTCTAAAACAATTCTAGATGTGGCAGACTGTTCCCACTTTTCAAAACAAATCAGAACAAGAAATGATTAAATGATTAAGCCTGACATAATTGGTCCGCCCTTCTGTTGCCCTATCTTATAAAACTTCTTCAGAACGCCTGAAATAAACGGTCCGCCCTCCTGAAAACCGCAATGTTGCCCTATAATATCTTATGAAACTGTTTTTTCTACTATATCATGGTCGAGGTAAACTTGTCACGTGTAACCAACGTCGTTGGTCTCAACATTGACCCCTAATCTCTTAGATACTAGGGGCGGACCGTTTATTTCAGCCGGACCAATTATTTCAGAACGCCTGAAATAAACGGTCCGCCCTCCTGAAAATCGCAATGTTGCCCTATAATATCTTATGAAACTGCTTGTTCTACTATATCATGGTCGAGGTAAACTTGTCTCGTACAATCAACGTCGTTGTTCTTGACACTGAGCCTTAATCTCTTAGATACTAGGGGCGGACCGTTTATTTCAGCCGGACCAATTATTTCAGAACGCCTGAAATAAACGGTCCGCCCTCCTGAAAATCGCAATGTTGCCCTATAATATCTTATGAAACTGTTTTTACCTTCGCCAAGGTTATGTTTTCGTGGCCGTGTATCTGTTTGTGTGTGTTTGTGTGTGTGTGAGTGTGTGTGTGAACAGCATAACTCGAGAAGGCTTAGATGGATTATATTGATATTTGGTAGGTGGATAGGTCTTGCTGAGACCTCGAAACGATTAGAATTTCTGGTCATCTGGCGGCTTGTTATGGTACTGCAGCGGAACTTCCGGTTTTGATATCTCGTGATCTGGACATGCTAGGGTGAGGATTTTTTGATTGTAGGTAGCTCTTGTGCTCGGGAAGAAGTGACATAAGTTTGGGCCCCCTAGCGGCTTGCACTGGAACTGCAGGAGCATTAGTATGAAAATGTTGGAAAAGTAGGATAACTCAATAACCGGTCGACGGATCGTCTTGAGATTTGGTATGTAGGTAGCTTAAGTGATGCTTGACATAATTAGATGACAATTATTAGGATCTAATTTGCATTATTTAATTAGGGAATTCTATAATTCAGCTACCTTCCATGATAGGACTATTATACCTCGTGACATGTGTAATTAAGAATGAGAGGAACATCGCCATATATTAATTATGTAAATGAAGACCTTATTTGCATAATTAATGAGAAAATACTATAATTCCATAGTGGTTGATGTTGGCAATTTCATACTTGCGGATTTCGAAGTTAACTGGAGGTGAACATCATTCAACATAAGTTATACAAATCAGCACCTCATTTGCATAATTTATGAGGAAATGCTAGAATTACCTTCTTTGTTAAGATAACACTGTCATTGGGAGGAGAATATGATCAACTGATGTAATTCATGCAAAGGAGGAACTTATTTGCATAATTAGGGGGAAAATCTATAATTCTAGGTTTCCCTATGGCAAGAATCTTAATCTTTTTTTTGTTGTTGGTACATCAGGATGTGCAGTCTAATTCATCAATGATCAGTTCCAAAATCAGATCTTATAGCATGACTAGTATTTTGAGAGATGTCCATGATTACATCATATATTATACTGATACTGTTTCAGTAGTAACAAGCAATACATGTGACATGTAAGAAGAAAAATGCAGAAGCCAAATGTCAGTATGTAAAGTAGCAGCACAGCTACAGCATTGCTTTTATATGTTGTGTAATAAAGCAAGTGTACATCATAAATATCTTTTTAAATAAGCTTTAATTAGAAGGGAAATACTGTGGCTATGTCATTACCATAATGCCTATAGAAGAAAAGATAACATTGTCAGATTGTAAAAGAAACACTTCTTTCTTTTCATTTTGCATACTAGTAATAAAATGCACCACAACCATATAGCAAAATCATTGACCTGTATCTTGTCCATTCCTCCACTGGTTAAAGTGGTTAAGCCACATCAATTTTTCGTGCCATGTGTTTGAAAGAACGGTTTCTTGATACAAGAAAAAACTGATTGGTAGAATTAACAAGGAATGTTGTCAAGTTGGAATCTGCCACCAAAAATTCAAGATCCATATCAATATCCATCTCACTGGTAAAATACTCTGTAGGCACTACATTTGTAATAATGTAATGTGTAAATGAGCCTACAATAGTGAGATAGCTACATTGTAGGTACTGAGCATGTGGTGTATACATCTCTAACAACGTAACCAGCTTCTGATGTATAAACTAGCTTTAACAAACAGTAAGTGCCTGCAGCCAAGTGTTGGTCTTTTTATCCAACATTATCTAGTACAATACAAAACACATTGTGAGGACAAATCTTACTTAATTCCCCTAACTCGCAGTGTAAATTATGGCTAAGTCAGCATTGAGAACCAAAGGTCTTCTAAAACAGAAGATTTTATCTTCTAATGCTTAGGCCCCCTTTTCACTAGACGGTGATCACTGAGCAACCGAAATTTGATTTGTGTGATCCTTTATTTCATGGATATTTTATTGGAATATGATGCAAGATGTAAAAGTGTGATTAAAAGACAACAGAACAAAGAATCTTAATCTTAACACAAGATAAATCATAGAAGAAATCTATTCTTGGGGACAGAAAACAGTTTTCTTGCTAAAAGAACATGATCCACAGAAAAAATCTTTCCCCAAGAAAAAATATCTTCAGAAGAAAGTTCAATAACTGTGAGAAAGTAAAGCTTGCTCCAAGAAAAATATTATTGAATGAGGCAAGAAAATACATAAGAAAAGAAATCTTACCACAAGAAAAATATGCTAAATGCAGTTTCTTGAAATTGCTGTCTCATGGACAAGATTTTTTTCTTGGGTGAAGAATAATTTTCTCAGTGGAAGAAAATTATTCTTCTCTTGAGAAAAACAAAATTGGCATTTTTGGTAGTGTATAACTTCTGTGGTGCAAAATGTAAATTGGCAACTACACCCACAATGCATCTGTTTGTGCTGCAAGATTAAAATAAAAAAGGGTCATGTACACTAAGCCAAACATTTCTTCCATGAAAATGTGGCTCAAACCATGATTCTCAGATTTCATTCCAAAGGGAGAAACTGGACCACGATCAACAATGAAGGACCCCCAAGGGCAACAGTATTCCATGTTGTCTGCAATACTTAACATGGGCTGCAGTGAGGTCCTTCAATGTTTCTGGTGGCACAGCAACTCCCTGTGGATCGAAGTCCGAGAAACGTGGTTTGATGCATGCCACATTCGCATGAAAGTACCCATTCGCCCAGCTGTCCCTCCATGACCCCTGTTTTTTGTCGAAGAAGGGGTAGTTGTCCTTGTGCTGAATGACAACATTAGCTGGGGCCCTGGGTTCCCCAAACTGTTGTTTACACCCCTTGCACACTTTGACCCTTTTTTGTTTTATCTGTAGTACAAAAGGCTCTTGCCGCAACTTCTTCATCTCGGGTTGGCTAGTATCTTTAGGCTCTGTAATGAGAGAATAATATATACTAGTCTTACAAAGCATCCAAACAAAATTAGTAAAAAGACAGTCTGTCAAATGGTGGGACTATCTTTGCAGACACAAGATCAAGAAATTATGGGTTTGGCTCAAGGCTAGACAAAGTGCTACAGTAACTTTAGCTTTAAACTCTCCTTACTCCACCCAGGTGTATATATATCTGTTGGGGTCAATGGAAGGAGTGATGAGCTTCTCTTCTTCCAATTATTCTCTTGGCATAAAAATACTTAAGATCACTGATGTCAGTCTCAGAACATTTCAGAAATCAACTTACCCATCTTCATGTGTTGTGTCTGGGTTGAATGTGTCTGGGATTCCTGAACTGATGACGTATCTGCAAAAGAAAAATAGAAAAATCTATAAGATCAGACTTTAGAAATATTGCTGAATCCTGTCTGTTTCAATTTCTTTGGAATGATGAACAATTACAATAAAAAAATTGTAATTACTGTATTTCCTGCTTTATGTGACTCTTAAATTCATGTTCTTCCGTGCTGTATCAATCACGAAACGTTTGGAAATAATACATGGAATTATCACGTAACAATTGGAATGTTTCTAAATCAGCATCTTTGATTCCTACGCAGAATTATTGGTTTACATAACCTAAGGCCACACCAATTTAATTTGTTGCTTCTCTGATTTTTCCGGGAATATGAAGTGACAGGGCGAAAAAAAAACAGGCCTTGGCATCCTATTACAATGTATAGCCCCAAACGCTACAATAGTAGCCATGAAGTAAACACAAAAGTCTGGATTTCAAACAATGGATTTTGAACTTTTAATAAAACCACTGCATCGATAGATGGAAAAACTACTCTAGAGTTGGAGATGAGAGTAGGAAGAGAAGGAAAGAGAAGGAAAGAGAAGGAAAGAGAAGGACTTTCTTCAATCGTTGGGGGCAAAATATGAGCATTTTTTAGTGATTCGGAACCAGAATGTTTTTTGCAGACAAAAATGAAAAGGCAAATCAGAGAACCAACAAATTACATTGGTGTGGCCTAAGATGAAATACTAAATGGAACATCAATTTCTAAAGTCATTTTTTCAACAAGACTGAAACCCTCTTCTAGATACTGCATGGTTCACTTGCATAAAATTCCTGCCTGAACTTTTATAGTATTGACAGTATTAACAGTTGTTTTTTGTAAAAAAAAAGAAGAAAATCAGGCAGTGATAAATTTTCAAATGGCCTGCTATACATACTTTGTAGGATATAAAAAATAACATACCTGAAGAACAGGATCTTGCTCTTTTTCTGTTGGCTGCAGCTGCAGACAAAGTATCAGGAGTATTATTATTTCTCTGTATGTCACTTGTAACATTGAGTGTATCATTTGACTACTTGTTAACGTAAAATTGTGAATTTTCCTTACACAATAACACCCTTTTTTCAGAATGATGAGATTAATTTGATCGTCATCGGTTCTGAGGATGTTGACTGATGCAGATGCATGACATTGTACATTTTATTCCTGACTTTGAAAAAAAAAAGATGTCTTGACAAGCATAACAGACTTATTTTTTTGTTTTGTTTTCATGTCTCATGTACAAATGTATAGTTCATGCTTATGGGTAATTTCCAGCGTGTCTCAAAATCATTGCCAAAAATGTCCAAATACGAACACTGAAAGTTTCCCATCTAGCTAAGAGGTCTCAGTATCTGTATCTGTATCTGTATAGCCGGTATAACCACCCTTCGGCGTAACACACCAGCTTTGCAGGCACGTGACGCGGCAGCACCTGGCTACATTACACCGAATGACCTGTTACACCTAACCTTTGAACGTCTAACTCTAGACATTGCTTAAAACTAAAATCTAATCATTCATTCTTTCGATCATAAGGCCACACAATTGAATTTGTTGGTTCTCTGATTTGTCAGGAGCGACATGGAGAAAAAATTAACACCATGATAGCCTGAAATGATGGCATGATGGCCAAAATATGGAGTTGATTCAGAACCTAAATTCCTTTTTTTTTTTGCAAATCAGAAACAAAATTAAGAGGCAAATCTGAGAACCAACAAATTAAATTTGTGTGGCCTAATGATCATACTCCTCCAACACACAAACACATGCACACACACACACACACACACACACACACACATACACACACAAACGCATACACACACACAAATAGACCAACTAACAATGCACCACAAAATATGACTCAATATTTGACAGAATGTAAAAAGAAATACCTCTTTTGTTAGACATACATGTGGTCCTTTTCCTTGACCTGTCCTCTATAAAATCAATAGCGGCCCCGATTTCTTTGGACTTCTTTGCAGCCTCAGCCGCATCACTGGGCCTAAACCCCATCTCCACTAGCGTGGGAATCAGGTTGTCTGCTTCTAAGACATAAACAGAATTAACATGTATTGATTTAGTTTTTGTTTATCATTTGAAGTACCTAAATTGTACTTTTGTGCTTACTATCAAGGAGCCACGTTTTCTTTCAAATAATGTGTAATAATAATGTTACTCAAAATTCCTGACCTGAAAAAATTAGGGTCGGTAGGTAGGATTATCTTTTTTTAAAATTTTGTTAGACTTTATCCAATTTATACATAACAGTTTAACACTATATAGTAAGTAAACTTGAATGAGGACACTTATACTTTCAATGTCAAAGGTTAATTTTGTGCATGATGGTATCTCTTGATACACATCCATCATTAGTCAGAACAGTTTTTTATTTAAATCGAAGAAAAAAATTATGTCCCTTGCACGGGTACACAAAAAAAGTCTAAGAGGAAAATGAATCTTCCCAAGACCTGACCCTCAAACCTGCCAGATTTAGCTGAGCTGCTAAATTTCTGGCCTTTCATAGCAGGGTATAGCAGCAAAAAAATACCATTTGTGGCTAAAATGCATTACAAAATCAATTGATGCTATACAAGAAGCTAATTTGCTTATTTGCCAACACCTTCCTTTAATTCCTTATGCAAAATAGCACCCAAACCCTAAATTTGAAGTTGTTGGTTTTAATTGGCTTACCTTCATTATCTGTGTTAGGTGTCAGGTCAGGCAATGATAAGTCATCTGTGTTAGGTGTCAGGTCAGGCAATGATAAGACGTCTGTGTAAGGTGTCAGGTCAGGCAATGATAAGTCATCTGACTCTGAAATATAAGATTGGGAATGGTAGATGTAGTATTTGCATGTAATTGTTTTTTTACCATTTCATCATTCACAAAAAACTAAAATACCAATTGTGAATAATTGTCTGATTGCCCTTGATAATAAATTAACAATACTTGAGGCATATCTCAGGTTTTAAACTTAGAATTCCATGATTGCAAGATATGACAGCACCTCCATTTTCAGTTTATTTGACATTGTAAAAGGAGCCTTTTACTGCCTTAAGTTTAATACTTTTTAAGTGAATGTTTGATCAAGGGCTAGAAATCTATTCAAAGAAGAAACAATCTGCCTAGTGAAATTAAGACTGATTGCTATGACTATTACAGCAACTAATAATCCTTAAGTCTATATTTACCACACCTGTTTCTGATGGCTTGTCCAAGTCGAACACTGCTGACCTTCTCTCTGAAATGTAAGGCAACATATGTTGCATGTATTAAATACCATTGCAGTTTTTTTCATATTTTTCCATTTCCTGGCAGTATCCTTAATTGGTCCCTGGCCTGGCTGTCAAAGGCCATTTTACAAATTTACTTACAAAGGCGACAGCAAGTAAATTTTATGGATGACATCCTCCACATACTCCGAACTTAATGTGTTTGGGCTTTTTTGCAAAAAACAAGATGGGCAAAAAAAAAAGATTCCACATTTTCATATTTCAAGATCATACACCTAATGTTAAACAAGAAATTGAGGTTAACAAAACATGATATCACAACCAACGTTAACAGGTCCTTTCTTCCTGTATTCAACAGCATTGCCTGTCCTTGTACATGTGTAACCTCGATTAACTAGAATTGTAAAAAAGAGCTTGTTGTACTGTTGTGGGCAGCTACTATACTGGATATTTATATGCAGTGGATCTTAAACTGCCAAAACTTCCCATCAAACGCAAGCAATTGTGCCTCCATTTCGTTGGGTATTCACCCATTTTGGCATGTTGACCACCATCAGAGGGCAACAAACTTAGTTAATGCGCGCTGATGTCCTCCACAAAAACAAAAACTTAGAAATTTCCAAGTGATTTACAATTATCTTACTATTGTTTACTTTTCAAATCATTTGCTGCTATAAAAAACAGCAACTGATACCTTATACAAATGACATTGAATAAAAACACTGAGTGAACATGAATTGAAAATTATCAGAAGAAACAAAAATTACTTCTCAGTAGATGATCTCCCCTTATGCTGCAGAGGTCGCAGAAGATTCCAATGCCTTTCTCTAGGCATTTCGCATGGAAGGCCCTTGGCAGTGGGCAGTTGCATTGGACCTGAGGAGAAATAAACATTAATACAAACTTTAAGATATATGCCATTAAATTGGAAATAATAATAACAAGAATTTGGAGACCTCATATCTCCATGAAATATGGTTTCCTCAACACAAATAACATATATTTTGGGTGAAAGTCAAATCCTTTGGCAATGTTTCATTTCAACACGTTATCATAAATCATGCAAATGACCTGTACATTAACATAATATATGCATGGTGTTGTAAACTTTTAACTAACTTACACATGTCACAAGTATGAAATGCCCATCATTTACCACTACTGTAACAGAATAATAGAATTTTCAAAATTAATCGTGCAAATGAGGTCCATATTTGGGTAATTCGTATCTGTTGATATTCTACCTGTGATAGATTAATATACATGTTGTACACATTTACATTTACATGTATGAAAGTCCTATAAGGTCTCGGACCGGAGTTTTTTATTATTTTTGTTTCCGGCGGACACCCCCAGGCCGAAGGGCTACAATTCCGCCAATAAAAGTAGGCTGGAAAATCGTATTATACCAGTGAACAGAGGTTTCCTGCCGGCTTCCGATAGGTATTTGGGGATCGTCTACTGACTTTTCATTTTGGGTAGAAATTGTTGTGAAATGTAAATTTTGGACCCAAGACATACCGTTTTTTAACACTTTTTTCAGTGGAGCTGCTGAGAAAAAACGAATTTTCCCTGGGTAACGGCTTATATATGACAAAAAAGCTCACTACTTCCTGTTTCTGAAAAACGGACAAAAAAATATAGGTTGTTGTGATAAGTTTTCCGCAATCTCCAGTGGCGCAAATCCCTTGAAAATGCATAATAATAGAACACAGCTATTTGGGTCATCAGGCGACAAAACCGCATCACCCTTGCTTGCGGACTAATACCAAAAACGCTTTGCTGGCCGTCCGACTTTACCACGCCCTAAAATACTACAAACCACGGGTTTTTCGGTAAATATGAAAACTATTTGATTATTTAAAACGATCACCGAGCAAGGAGGAGCCAAACTAAGCGTGACAACCACCTGGATCCGGCGACTTACTGACGCACTATTTGAAACCCTAGTCAGATTTGAACTCTGGAACCATAATGTAAAACACAAGAATCACAGAATTTCCTCATTAATTATGCAATTGAAGTCCTCATTTGCATGATTTGCTTCTAATTATGTAAATGTCTGTGTAAGCTACCTACATACTGAAAACCATGATTTTTTTATCATAATACGTTGCGCCTTTCTTATCTGCTCTTAAAGATTTCTCCAAAACCCCCCTGCAGTTGCAGCACAAGCTGCTAGGGGGACAAAACCAGCACGTCGACAGAACGTACTGCACCTGCGCAAAACTCGTGATCACGTTTTTCGTTGGATGTTTGGTCAATATATTTTCCTATACAACATCTGACAACTACACGCAGGCTGTCAACCTTATATGCTCTAACACGATCTTATATGAGACGTTCTGCCAAAGTTCTATGCACAATACATTACGGGTTTCGCGCAGGCGCAGTACGTTCTGCCGACGTGCTCACAAAACCCACACCACTTATTCCTGACAGGAAAAGCTATCTGCCACCGAAAAATCAAGACATAGCATGTTCAAAACAAAAGATACAAAAACCGGAAGTTCTGCTGCAGTACCAAGGTCAGCCACCAGAAGGCCAGATTTGGCCTTGACCTTTGTCTTCCTAAGACCTACCTACATACCAAATGTCATCACCATCCATAAAGGCGTTCTTAAGTTATGCTCACCAGTAATTGGTAGAAACACACACAGACACACACACCTGTCAGACAGACGGACAGACAGACAGACCCAAAACAATATCTCCATTTTTCATGGAGATAATAAATAATAATAAATACCGCGTGTGTCCCTTGTATTTTGAGAAAATATCTTGCTCTCACTTTTTCACCGACTAAATTTAACGACAGTCTTTGTTCAGTATTTCATCGTGGTGTGCTTTTCTTGCACTCTCAGGAAAAGCGTAATCAGCACCTATCTTTCAATCAGCATAATTCAACATAATACCCCAAATGCATGTGAATGTTTAAGAGACAATTCTAGGTCATGACAAGAGAAAACTATTCTACTGTGATCCTGAGTTCAGCCATAAAATACATGTATACCTTTTTTGGTTCTTGGTGTCTTAGCAACTTGATTAGGGTAATTCACAGAATGATTTGAAATGAACTTACCCGTCCATCACACTGCAGCGTGCATATGGCACAGCGTCTGCTGATATCCTCTGAAAAAAATTAAAAGTGCTTTAAAAAAGAGCATGCTTGTACTATAAAATCACCCAAGAAATTCTGCTAATGTAAACTACCAAACCTCAGTCTACCTCTGAACAAGGAGGTTCAATCAAGATTGAACCTCTTTGCTCTGACCACTGTGGTCGTGGTAACATGGGTTACAGGCCTGGCTAATAAGTCGACAGTACTAGTACCCAAGACATTTAGGAATGAATTGACAACAGATAAAGAATTGAAGTATGATTGTAAGAAGATAGTCGGAGTCACGAGTCCAGAATGTATGTACAATGGCAACACAGTCCCTGCCTGTTTCTGGTGGCTGGACAGTCTGGGATGTTTATGAGTTTAATGTAGTTATGGGGCTCAATTCACTATTCAAGCTGCTGGAGAAGCCACAGTGGAGTCTGACTTCTTCCATAAGCGACGGTCACAACTCGCCGTACGTGCTTCTGCGTGCTGTCTACGTGCAAAAACGCGGGCAATTGTACGGCATCCGTGCGTGGTGAGTACCACCTCCGTACGGAATCCTACGGATTTGGGAGCACGCAGACACGCCATAGAACTTTAAGTGCATGTAATACTTTTTCTACGTGCGGTCTGCGGATTTACCACCCGTGCGTGCGAGTACGTGCGACGCGCGTGCCCCGTACAGCCTATGAGCGTGCAACGTACGGACTCCGTGAGTCTAACTTCACTATTCTCACGTGCAATTGCTGTACGGACAGCGCACGAAGCACGTGCGTGCCACGCACGGTGCTTGCGTCATCCGTGCTTACTCCTCACTTCCCAGTTGACCTGCTCAATGACCACGCAGAACACACGTGCACCATACCAGGTGCTCCGCACGTGCAACGCTCGTGCAACGCACCTGATTTCTACAGTATATAAAGACGGCGACTGCCAACTCGTCTCCAAGATGCCCAGGAAGGCTCAGAAGAAGACTACCAGACAAGACCCAAAGAAACGGGCCACGGAAGACACCAGGGCGGCTAGTAATAATGAAGTTAACAGGAGGTGCACACACTTACAACATGCGAGTGAGTAAGGAAACCGTGCGTACGCCGCACGTGTAGGTACGGCCTGTACGCGGCAACGTAGCAATCGCACAGAGATCGTGCGTTGTAAGCACGTACAACTCACTTACCACTTGCGCAACGTACGATGCACGCAACCGCTGACGGCCAGGCGTGTCGTGCAGACCACGTACGTACACCTTGCGCAACCGTGCGAGTGACGTACTCCCTCGGCCGGCCACCCTACGTTTGCAGAAAAAACGTAGCAGACGTAGCCACGACAAAAACGTACGGACAAAAAGCACGCAATGCGAGTTGTGACCGTCGCTTTATTGCTGTTCCCAGGGAACACTATCTTGTAGTAGGTTTATAATACTTCCTGAGGTAGGCTTACATCTAAGATTCTTGTGCAGAAAGGTAATATACATTGCACAATACCATTTTAGTATTGATAGATTGAGAAAAAAAGCTGCTAGTCGTATCACTAATGTTTGAAATTTGAGTGGACCTTTCTTACAGCGGTGCCGCAACAAAACCCAACGAAACTATGTAAGATTCTCAGTGTACAGTGCCTCATGCGATTTGTAGTTTCCAGATTCTGCAAGAACCATGACAGGTACATTGACAATGACACCATACAAGACCAAATAACTGCAGGGATTAATCTTCTATTCAATTAAGCTCTACACAGGGTCCGTAAACTAAAGTTCAGCTTTGATTGTAACATTTGTCATGTAAGTATTCAGGTTTGGGTGATACTCTACTTAGTTTGATGTTGTGTACTACATTGTATAGCATTTTGAGTCCACATTTGAAATCAGGAGGACCACTATATGAAATTCAGCTTTTGATGATTCTATTACCTGAACTTGCGAGAAGAGCCCTCCCCATAGTCAGCCTGGTGCTTTCAACATCCCCCAGGTGCATGTCTGAGCCCAGGAGAAGATGTTCAGCAAACTGAGGAAGAAAGAACAATCACAATTGCAAGATTATGGTTCTGGGTATGGAAGAAGTGTTACCTGCCTATTGAAAGTTATACAAGGAAATAAAGGGGAACACTCACAGGTGTTTTTCAGTCAGTTTTTCAGCTACAAGAGTATGGTTGTATAAGATGAGAGCACTTCAACTTTAACATTTCCACAGAAGCACAACAAAATTTTAATAGTTTTATCACAGGTATGTTAATTAGTCCTAAAAACAATACTAATACATATAGCAACCTTGTCTAATGTGGATTTCACTTTGCTTTGTCCTAAACTCATACATTCTCAATGATGTCATCAAAATGGTTACATTTATGATAATTTTCTATATAGGCTCACAATATGGGATAAAGGGACAGGACTTTTGAGCCACATAATAAACTGTGCTTCTTGGCAGTTTAGGAATCATTATTGTTATCTTACCTTCACTACAAAAAGTCCACAGGAGTGCGAGTCATGCTGCATTGGATGGGGCAGTTGCTTGACTTTCCATTTTTTTTTGTTCTCCGTCACATTTTGCATAAAGTTCCTACATAGATTATAAAATGTGATAATGTATTAATAATTAATAATTTACAGTCCAAATGTCAAATTTGTTCTTCATGTCAAATGGTTTGTCAATGGTTTTCTCCAGCATTTACCCTCCTTTCCCTATTATGTAATTTATCTGCTCATGGTGTGTGCAAGTTTTACCCATTCCATTCTTCTCCAAGCAGAGGTATAGGGGGAAGAATGTTATCTTTGTAATGTGCACCGTTTTTTTAAGCGACAGAAAAAAAAGCCATATTAAAAAGGTAACAATCTTCCCTCCACACTTCTGCTTGGAGAGTACCCTTTAATCACAATAATGGGAAAGTAAAGTTTTGCTCAGAAATTAAGATCTAAGGTGGCATACATGTAATTTGCCTATGCCATGTTGTGACACATGCAATTTGCACCTGAATATCCAGAGTCCGCAATAACCTCCAGTGCAAGGCACATTGACAGAGGATATATTCAATGACGTAATACAGGACCACAACACCCACCAGCAGTAAGTTTCTACCTGGATGGAGTACGCCTTGAGTGTGTCAAACATTTCAGTTATCTTGGCAGCACTCTCAACCACAAAGTGCCTGTCCAGCCTTTGCTAACTTTGACAATACAAGTCTTAAGACGGCAACAAAGCTGCAGGTGTATAAAGCCGTCAAGTTCTAGATCTTCCAACCCTACTTAAGCTTTAGGTTGCGAGGCCTGAGTCACCTATCGACGTCATCTTAAGGCTTTGGAACCATTTCCCCAATGCTCGTTGCAGCGTATTCTGAATATTCCCTGGACAGACTACCGCACCAACACCAGCGTGCTAGCTAAAGATGGTTCCTTACAGTAGTATAGAAGCCCTCATTGTGCACAATCAACTACGATGGACTGGCCACTGTGTCCGAAAGCCAGACAATCGGCTTCCTAAATACCTAGTTCTTTTTTGGTCAATTACAACTTACAAGGAACTCGTCTAAGGGGTGGGGAAAAACGGTGCAAAGATACACTCAATTACTACTCAAAGAAAGGTCAAATTGACCCTTCAAATTTCCAAGTTCTCTGCCATGATCGCAGTGCATGGCGACAGCTGACCTACAACGGTGCCTCAACCTTTGAAGCTGAGAGAGTAGCCACTGCCAAAAGAAAGGCCAAGAAGAAGCGTCAACCAGTAATAATTGGACACCCTACTTTTTGGTAGGATACCCTAAAGACACCCTTAGCTATTTTTGTCACTCCCAACCTCTGCCATGCCCTCATGTCTACCTTCAGCCTTACTATAAATACAAAAATGAAGTAACGAAGGAAAAAACCTGGCTGTATTCCTTAAAATTTCCACCTCAAACTACAGGAAGTAGTGTTTGAGAGCATTACGAATTTCAAAAAAATTAAAAAATCCCTCCTTAAAAGCTTGTACCTTATAGCATACAATAAAAAATGGACACCCAACAAAAATCCTAGCTAAAAGTGGCATCAACAAAAGGACTGACTTAACACCTAGTGGACTCGGCCTACTCCAAGGAGTGGCTGTCAACACACAGGACCAAATGACTGCAGGGATCCGAGTATCTTACATTCACTTAAGCATCAGAACATTTGCTCACAAGAGAGGACAGAGAAACCAGTAAAATTTGCGATTTAGTGCTATTCATGTTTTACATCTAGACATCCAAGTATGCTGTTAAAACACTCAACTGCAAAACCTTAAGCAACAAAAGATAATTGCCATCTAGGGCAAAGGAGTATGTTTCATTACCTCCATCCATCCAGTACTCTTGCCATGACATGCTTTTGTTCTCCAAAACTGTTCATGTAAATGACCTCGCCACGCTCAGGATATACAGCCTGTCAGGGACATGGATAAATCAGATGAGTATAATATTTTTTCAAAAACGTATAAAATTTCATAACAATTGTTTGTTACAGGAAAGTCAATAAGGTTGTTAAGTAAACTTACAACAATTGTCCAGTGAGATGGCTCATGTACTGCACCGATGACAATGTCATGTTGTGCCACTGCATTTCCAATCTATATGTAAAAAGAGAGGAGATAAAGGCAGCTAGTTGGAGGTTGCAATGAATTATCTAAACGTATTATATTAGTACTGAACTTAGCTGAACTTGGACCAAAACCATTAAGAAAAAAGAGGTGGTTTCTTTATAAAAGCTCATGAGGTCATCAACAAGTCATGGAGATGCTGAGAAATCCTCTTTGGTTGTGTGCTATTTGAATGATTATACAGAAAACAATTGAAAGCATTTTATTTATCAAAATACTGCTATGATGAACATGATTATTGCATACCTTGTTGACAGTTCCTTTCGAATGGGTCCTATTTGGATTCACGATGTTGTTCATTGTGTGAGAGTCAATATGTAGAATGTTGCGTCCTGTCTGTGTAAAATAAAGAAATAATATTCTTACTAGGATCCCATGCTGTTTAATTTCCATTAATGAAGTCATTTTACAATCACCAGCCACTGGAGGAACTAAATTTAAATTTATATCACAGTTGCTCTGAATTGTGAGAATTTCATTCTTGAGATGTGGATTACTAAGCAATGATCACGTTGCTAGATATGAATTATTACAACTATGTAGGGCCTCCATGTAACTGAGCAATTATTTATTTGTTACTCCCAAACACATGCTGTTCAAATCTACCGCAGACAAACCTTCATTTAGGATGGACGTCCATCTGTGTTAGTGGTTATAGTAGTCAAAAGCAATGATTAAATGTATCAAACTGTCTTACTTCAACTTACCTCTAACCTTGCCTTTTCTACCACAATATGCAGCAGGGCATTTACTGTCTGCAACATAGCAATATATAAGGTAGGTAAGTGCTCTGTCCTTGTGAAACAATGTTAAAAGCAACATTATGTTTGAATGATCACATCTACATTCACCTCACCTCACCAGTCCCATCTACATTATGTGACTGTATATTACAATTTGCTACATGTACATTAATGCAACTATAAAATTGAATACAACTGTTACACTGTTACCCCATGGTGTCTGCAAGGAGAGCCTCTAGCTTTAGTCATTAGATCATAAAAAAACAGCTTGAGTTAAGAGGTCTGCATTGCTAACATTGCTACCATAGAACACAACTGACTGTCCTTACCTGGTCCAACAGCCATGCTCTTGGCTTCACTAGGCAGTACACATCCATGAGCATGATTTTGTATGGTCCTATCTTTCCCATGTAAAGTCCTTCAGTCTCAAGTGTTTTCTTTTTTTTCAATTTTTCAAGCATCGCTGCAATGCTGTCCTCTTTTCGCTCAGTGTCGCTCTCCTCCACTTTCTTCATCTCTCCATTCTCCTCTGTCTCCAGGTCGCTCTCCTCCACTTTCTTCATCTCTCCAATCTCTGCTGTCTCCAGGTCGCTCTCCTCCACTTTCTTCATCTCTCCAATCTCTGCTGTCTCCAGGTCGCTCTCCTCCACTTTCTTCATCTCTCCATTCTCTGCTGTCTCCAGGTCGCTCTCCTCCACTTTCTTCATCTCTCCAATCTCTGCTGTCTCCAGGTCGCTCTCCTCCACTTTCTTCATCTCTCCAATCTCTGCTGTCTCCAGGTCGCTCTCCTCCATTTTCTTCATCTCTCCATTCTCTGCTGTCTCCAGGTTGCATGCCGCCACTTTCTTCATCTCTCCATTCTCTGCTGTCTCCAGGTCGCACGCCTCCACTTTCTCCATCTCTCCATTCTCCGCTGTCTCCTTGTCGCTCTCCTCCTCTTGCTGCCCCTCCTCACATTTGGTCTGCTGTACATAATGTTTGATGTAGTCAATGTTTATTGTCTCCTTTCTTGTTTTGTTCCTCACTGATGCTGTCTTTCTCTCTGTGTCAATCTCCTCCAATACATATGGTCCTCTCCATTTGGGTTCGAGGGGCCCGCCTTTCCTCCCCATCTTCCTTCTATTCTGTACCATGACCAGGTCATTGACTTTGAAGGAAGAAATCCTTTTTTCAAGGGGTTTCTCTGCTTTCCTCTTGTATATGTTTTGCACCTTCTTGATGTTGAGAAGGACTTCCTCTTTTGTTTCCTCCCTTTCACGCAGCATTTTTGAGACTGCCTGGCTAGTTGGAGGCTCCACTGATAGCATGTTTTCCTAAAAGTATAACATAAAATAAAAACTCAAAACTACACTTTCCATTCAGAGGCCTCTCTGACTTTAACTCAAACCATCAAACCAAAAATGTTCCAAAAAATGTCCACAGTAACTTTAAGTGACTTTTACGTTATTCCCATGAGTGAAACTGGTTCAGAACTCAACTGTGAATGAATCAGTTTGAAATGTCAACTTAAATTAAAAAATGAAAAGATGATGTGATGATACATAATGTTGATATGCAGGCTCCGATACGAGATGAAATTAAGAATAGTTCTATTATCTCAATTCTTTCTGACTTTGATGAAAACCTAGTAATAATATTGTATCAGGTTGACAGTTCTACTTCTATCATTGTGACAGGTCACAGATCCTAGATACTATGATATGTCATGAATTATTTTGACTTAATTATTTTCTTGTCAAGTAAAGTTTCAAAGTTGCTTGTAACACAGTTAAACTTAAAGGCATACAATGCAATTACAGGTCGGTAAAACTCGATATATTCTGAACTAGAGTTCCACGACCTCATACCTTCGCCAAATGAGGTTACCCTTTTGACTGACAAATTGTAGACTTTCCCCCTAATTACCTTCGCCAAGAAGGTTATGTTTTCGTGGCCGTGTGTGTGTGTGTGTGTGTCTGTCTGTCTGTCTGTCTGTCAACAGCATAACTTGAGAAGGCAAAGATGGATTATCTTTATATTTGGTAGGTGGGTAGGTCTTGATTAGACCTCAAATCTATAATTCATCAGTCATAATGGTAACCTCATTTGGCGAAGGTATGAGATCGTGGAACTCTAGCTTTGCAAATAAGATCCTCATTTCATACTAGACTTTCAAAATGGCCCAAGACCGAGTGAGTCTTTCATTTTTGGTTGGTAACACTTCAGCCCTTCCCGTGCTAATTTTGACCGAGGTGTTCGAAATAGAACAATAAGAGTGTTCGACATGTTTAATTAGGAAAGGTCCTTTTTTATCATGTTATTTAATTTGATGTACAGAAAAGTAATGTCATGGTGACATACCTCTATTACTTCCGGCCAGTCAGGTATCTGTGCAGGATACCTGCATTCCCTCCCATACATAAGATAGAACGGACTGTACTTTGTGGTCGAGTGTTTCTTTGTCCTGAGCGAGAACAAAACCCCATCCAGCTTGAGGTCCCAGTCAGTAATGTTGTCCTGGCTGAGTGTCTTGATGAGCCCACTATATTTAACATAGGGTGGAATGGTGTTCAGGCTTGTGTGATTTAGAGATAATGATAAACCTTTAAGTTATCAATTTTGGGATGCCTATATATAGGAAGTCGGCATGTCATTGCAGCTTCACCACAAATCAAATATTTTGTTTCAAGTGGATTTACTGAACCAAAATGTACAGATTGATGTTTATTGGATAGGTTTGTACAAATGGTGAATATGTTAACTTTTGATTTTTGATTTTCATTAAAAAAGCAGTCACTTTGTTAGATCACACAAGATTATTCTCAATTTACAAAATGTAACAAAGTAATTTGTTTCTTATTTCAGTGACCTTCACAACATCACTTGATATACCTCGAATTTGCTTCAGATAAAATGGAATGAGCGGGCTATGGGGCATAATTGAGACGAAACAGGTATCATGCACATAATGTCATTGCCTCATACATGTATGTGCTAGAGATGGACAAATTTCACAATCAAGTTAGAACTCTATGGTGAATTTTCAATCAAAATTTATTTGTAATTAATAAACATGCCTTTTGATGTTAGCATTGGTTTTCTCATCAAGACCATTTGTCTGTGGGTGGTAGGGAGTTGTCATTTTCCTCTTCGTGCCCAGGGCGTCACATATCACGTCATTCACCTGTTGAAATATCAAGAGTGCAATGCTGGTTGCAATGTGATACATGGATCACATTTATTGATGAACATTAGACATATGAGACATAAATATTACCCTCTCAGTTTTATTGACTGATATGGCTTCTGTAAGTTCAGTGTACATGTATACATGCTCTTAAGAGTTGTCCACTAATCCTATTGGGATCTAGAGTACTGAGAGGAAAAGTGAGTGCCTCTTACTGTACAGCACTGTTTCTCTGGAGGTAAACTCCTCACAGCTCATAATATGTGTCAGAATTGATTAACAACCCATGGAATGTACCCAGTAGCTGCTTTGGATATTAGCTAGCATGGGTGCCTTCCTCATTACTCAATGTTTTGAGGGATTGAGAGCAGATTCTTGCCAGGATGAACTAAATAGGGTACACCCATCCGTGCCACTATTGTGCATAATGTAGTTGGGTTACATGTGTGTGGCAGTTCACCTCAATGTATTAGAACATTCTTCTCCCCAAGTTAATACCCACCTGATGGAATTAACAGACAAGATGCTCTTAAATTTGGAAAAGAGTACAAGGTTAGAAAAATAATATATAACTACAAATTGAAACAATTTCTTAAATCATTACCTTATTGTTGAATTCTCTGCCCTGGTCAGACAGAATGACCCCCGCTGCTCCATGCCGATAGAACATTTTCAGTATGCAGGCTGCAACTTCTTCGGCAGACTTCGATTTCATGGGGAAGGCCTCCACCCACTTTGTGTAATAATCCGTGGCCGTAAACAGGTACTTGTTGCCCCTTGGTGTTTCTGGTAGGGATGTCAAGTCCATCCCCACCATTTCCATTGGGGATCCATGCACCTGGATTAACCAAAAAAAAGTTTAAAGTACATGGAGGGCAAAGCAGGTGTATTAAGCCTTTGCAAGTTTCCCTCTCAGAGGGGAATCTAGTTTATAATCTTCATCAAGTTCACCCAATGCCCGAATCCTTGGGCATTGGGCATCAAGTTCACCAGTAAATGCAAATTATTTTAGCAAGAAGGCAAGATGAAAGTGAATCATGGGAAGACTTCAACCCAGTTTAAACCTCTTTTTTTCCTTATTTCGCTTCAATTTTGCATATGTACATCATGGCTGTATAACTATCTGCAAACTGAGTGCAGAATAGCTTACATTTATCAATTTTTTAATAAAGTGTTGTAGAGGCCACAAAAATCTTTGTAAATACCTTGATAGGGTGTAGTCTCTTCATCCCTTTGGGGATTTTCTCCATGGTCTGGCACCTGGGACAGCCCTTGACCTGAGAACAAAGTCGTCCAAGAGTAAATTTCAATGCCATACGATCTGTTCTTTTTTTTACTTTTTATGCCTTATGATAATGTTAAATGGAGGTATTGTTTTGATTTTTTCTATTTTTTTCTATTTACTTCGTGTTCACCACAAAACAAGGCTCATGGGAGCCACTCAAATGTTTGGGGTTACTGTACAGACAGTGAGGACAGATGTTTGTTGACCTTAGACTTGAAAAGTTTAAGGTTATACCCAATTATGGGTAGCAATCACGTGGTAGCTTGTTCCATAGTGATGTTATTCTCTGAAAGAAGCTATCAGCGTGGAACTTCCTCCTAAGAGGTGGTGTATAGAGGAAGAAAGGGTGATTTGCTTCAGTGGAAGTGGCAAAACATGTCCTTGCTGAGAATGTTTGAAGTGGAGGCAATACCGTGGAAATAACGATAACATAACACCAGGCGTGCAACGTTACGCCTATGTGAGAGTGGTTGGCAAACAAGTCTCTCCCTACAAGATTTTGTAAGCGGTTTTGGACTCGGTTGAGGCAGGTAAGGGTCAGCTCTGGGCAGCTCCAGCCCAGATGTGACAACAATATTCCATTTTCATCTAATCTGGCTCTTGTATCATAAAGTATAAGATAGCTGAGGGTACTTTTTTTGCTTGCATTTTGGTACAAAGAACCCACCATTTTCCCGGCTTCCTTGGCAACGGGTTAAATTAGATTAGATTAGATTAGATTAGATTAGATTAGATTAGATTGGAGAGGACTGTTAGCAATTCCACATGAGGTCCAGAGTGAATTTAAGGCCCAAAATGTGTTCGAAGCATGGAGCTTCGTTCAGTACGGTCCCACTCATATGGAACTCATATGGACCGGAGGAAGTTTCGGGTCTGATCTCTTGTGATGGAAAGATAGGAGATTTGTCTTTGAAGGTTTGTAGGTCCATTTAAGCCACTGCCCCACCAAACTGTGTGTTCAAGGTCAGCAGGCTTAGGCAAATGCTACAATAAGCCATGAAGTCAACATACCAGGCTGGTTTATGATTTAAGCAACTTTAAGCAACCACTGCATTTATAGATGGAAGAACTGTAACAAGTCAAAAGACAAGGACTTCTCAACCATTGCGGCCAAAATATATATTGAGAGTTTTGGAGTTGAGCCAGAACCTGAAATCTTTTCTTTTTTTTGCAAATCAGACAAAAAATGCCATGACAGGGAAGCAAATAATCAAATTGATGTGGCCCATCACAAAATAAAACAACAAAATTGTTCAAAATATGAAGCTCCTATATTCATGGAGTTATGAGATTTCTGAACTCTTGTATTCCTTTTACCTTTAATAGAAGTTGACCTATATATTAGGTATATGAACCACATGTTATGACTGACACACATGACATATAAGACAGCTTATATATATAGCAGTTAACTTGAATAGCTAGTATATATAACATAACAGGATGCTTACCCATGACTTGATGTCATTAGCCATGTTTGGCCAGAAGAATCGGGAGTTGATGGCATATAGTGTCTTCGTGATGCCCGTATGGCCTCCTAACTCCCCGCCATGAAACTCCTTGAGGATTTCCTCTACCCTGTCCTTCAGGACAACCTCCACACTCTCTTCAGACCCCTTCAACCTCATCAGTGTGTCACCTGGATCAAAGTAGAAGTAGAAGTGTAAGCATAGTTTTGAAATCTGATTCAATACTATGATCATGGCACTATTATTTAATGTTTTAATTTCTGTGATGTTTCTTTATCAATTATCATTTTTACAAAGAGAAGAAAGTGCTTTTGGTTTGTCAGTTTGTTGCTGTGTTGTATCTGTATTAACCAATGTACACGATGTACATTGTATACATACTCTGAG